CAGCAGTAGCTGAGAATCCAGGAAGGGCCCCCAAGACTGTGTTTTACTACGGCAATCAGTTGATAGTGGCAGACAACCTAATTTATTACAGTGACATTAAGATAGCTTTAAGCATTTAGGAATGCTTAAAGTGTAAGTCTGTACCAGAGGGAAGTTGTGTTTGAAAAACAATTTGCACTTCACAAATTAAAACTGGGCCTCCAGAACTGTTGACGGTTGAGTCCCTTCAAAAATGACTTTTACACTATTATTTTGTATTTCTGCAGCAAATAAGAAGGCAGGGTTTCCTCTAAAACTATATTATCTCTCTTGCTATCAGCTGATTGTGTGCTGCTAAGTGAAAGGTGCCAATGTGGGTTTTGAGAAGCACATGTTTTACATCCTGTCCTACTTTCTTAAGAATTCCAAATTGTCTTATCATCTAACTAATGTTTCTAACTTCAATTTGCGCTTCTAAATAGAGTTCACCATTGCTACACTTTATGGAAAATAGCCCTCATCCAGATTTCTTAATATCCGTGCCTGCGTGTAGTATTAATTTTATGCATTTAACAGCAAAACAGCAAAACAATTTAATGCCGAGTTTAGATTATATTTGTAATTTGCTTTGGGGCCTTTGGGCTGTGAATAAAATGGAGTCGATTAGAAAAATGTAAGACTCAGACGCAACTGACTTCAGCTAATACTAAAAACAACAACCAAAGCCTAAATTGTGAACTTGATTCATGCATTCCTATTTCAACGTAAACCTGTCTTTTAAGCATTTTGATTCGAAAATCTGTACCGATTGCAAAACGTGGATGGATTCTTTCTGCTTGCCGGGAATACAGTGGTCATCCTAGCAATTTTTATTGGCTGCATGTGTCATCTCTTTCCTGTTGTTTTTTCTGTAGCTCTGGATCAGAGAACTAAAGTCAAAGCATAACTCCAAATTAAGCCAGAGGATTCTCACCTGTTTCTTATTATTGAACATCAAATATTCTATCTATGTGTAAAGATCTTCATATAGTTTAACAAGCTTAGGTACCTTTGGGCATGAGAGAGGCTTTGCAAAATTATGATTTTAAAGGCTCACTGCAGCTCTTTCCAATTATGCATTTCTTCCCACCGCTCAACTAGGAATTCATAAAACGGGAATAAAACTTTCACTCTCAAAGAGTTCTGAGTTTTTTCTATCCTTGTTCTTGCACCTTAGAGTGTGCAGTTAGCCTCTATCACTATTTCAGAAACAATTAGGAGCCTTGATAGTACAGTGGTTTAAAGCACCCTGTTATTAAGCTGGTTATTAAGACCAGCTGCCTGCAATTTCTGCTGGTTCGAATCTCTCCAAGGCTCAAGGTTGACTCAGCCTTCCATCCTTTCTAAGGTAGGTTAAATGAGGACCCAGTTTGTGGGGGCAATAAGCTGACTTTGTATAAATATACAAAAGTATGAAGGCTATTGCTGAGCACATTGTAAGCCGCCCTGAGTCTCCGGAGAAGGGCGGCATATAAATCAAATTAAAAAAAAAAATTACTTCTGTCTCAGTGGGGAAATCCAATTTTTTTACTACCAGTTCTGTGGGCGTGGCTTGGTGGGCGTGGCAGGGGAAGGATACTACAAAATCCCCATTCCCACCCCACTCCAGGGGAAGGATAATGCAAAATTCCCATTCCTTCCCCACTCCCGGGGAAAGGATATTACAAAATCTCCATTCCCACCCCAAACTGGGGCCAGCCAGAGTGGCATTTGCCAGTTCTCTGAACTAAAAATTTCCACTACCGGTTCTCCAGAACCTGTTGGATTTCACCCCTGGTCTGTTTGGGGAATGGAAGGGTAGGTGGGCTGAAGAAGACCAATGTTGCCATGAGGAAGTACAGGTTGGTCAACAACTTTAGAAGGAATAACCATAATGGCACGCATGAAGGAATGTTGAAGCTTTTGAACTCTCCAGAATTCTTCAAACAATCCAAGTTGGGAAACAAAATAAAACAAAGAAGTGCATAAGCAACAGAAGTTGGCCCAAATATTATGCCCATGAGATCTTCCATGCTTGCAACTTGGGCCTCCTTAACTCTGCTTAAATTATTCATATACATATTCCGCCTGTTTCTATCCTGAAGCTGAATTTGTGTTGCAAACAGATTTAAAAGGACAAAGTTGCATTATGTGTTGACCCCAGGGGAGAGGTCTTGGTGTAATAAACATAAGTTACAAAAGGGAGAGCGTAGGCTGAGCATTAGCAATTGAGTAGCAGCATATGGGACGCGGTGGCTCAGTGGCTAAGACGTTGAGCTTGCCGATCGAAAGGTCAGCAGTTCAGCGGTTCGAATCCCTAGTGCCACGTAACGGGGTGAGCTCCGGTTACTTGTCCCAGCTTCTGACAACCTAGCAGTTTGAAAGCAAAGGCAAGGAGAAAAATAGGGAACGCCTTTGGTGGGAAGGTAACAGCGTTCCGTGCGCCTTTGGCATTTAGTCATGCCGGCCACATGACCACAGAGATGTCTTTGGACAGCGCTGGCTCTTCGGCTTTGAAACGGAGATGAGCACCGCCCCTTAGAGTCGGGAATGACTAGCACATATGTGCGAGGGAAACCTTTGATTTTTTGTCAACCTCTGTGGGTTGCAGAATAAAGATGGTGACACTGAACTCGCTTCACCTTTAAACTAGTTCTATAAGTTTCTGAGCAAGAAAGTATTATGAATGCTTTTTCTAAATGTTACATATCATTTTTAGCCAGTACGCTCGCACAGAGTGGGCCTCCTCCGGGTGCCATCCGCCAGACAATGTCGACTGGCGACCCCCAGGGGGAGAGCCTTCTCTGTGGCGGCGCCCACCCTCTGGAACAACCTCCCCCCAGAGATACGTACAATAACAGACCTCCGGATTTTTCGTCGGGCCCTGAAAACCTATTTATTTCAACTAGCTGGGCTGGCTTGAGTTAAATTTTAAATTGATTTTAAATCGGATTGTTTTAATTTACGGCCAAAATATTTAATTATTTTAAACTGTTTTTTAAATTTTGTATGCTCTGTTTTTTACTTTGGCTGTTCACCGCCCTGAGTCCTATTTGGAGAAGGGCGGTATAGAAATGGAAACAAATAAATAAATAAAATAAATAAAATAAATAAATAAGAGCCTTGATAGTACAGTGGTTTAATGCACCCTGTTATTAACACAGCTGCCTGCAATTTCTGCTGGTTCGAATCTCTCCAAGGCTCAAGGTTGACTCAGCCTTCCATCCTTTCTAAGGTAGGTGAAATGAGGACCCAGTTTGTGGGGGCAATAAGCTGACTTTGTATAAAATATACAAAAGGATGAAGGCTATTGCTTAACGCATTGTAAGCCGCCCTGAGTCTCCGGAGAAGGGCGGCATATAAATCAAATTAAAAAATAAATAAATAAAATAAATAAAATAATAAATAAACATAGCATTATCATACTTTCGGTAAAGGGTTCTTAAACGTCCCTTATAATTTACAATGTGCTGCCTTGGCTAGTCCACTGGCAAAATCCGAAAGGGCCTTAGGACAAAGAAATATCACATTGCTTTTTAATAGAGCTGGGACGCACCGATCAAGCTGAACAGCAAGGGTGTTCTGTAAGTAAGGGTGATGGAGAAGGATGGAGTTCAACGAGCAAATGGCTGTGCTTGGGGAAACTTGTTTAACAACGGGCTTGCAATTTGTTGCAAGATTTCCGTAACTCAGCAGATATGTCCTGTGATCAATTACTTAATTAGCATACTCCTATAACTAGACATATATCAGTAAAATCAATAAAGCAGCTATTGTGCACTCTAATTAAATACAGATCATTATAGCCCCATTTGTTGAGCTGAACGGCATGGGTGGTGCTAGGATGAGTTGGTAAAAATCATGTTGTGGCCAGTAAAGAAGGAGCAGCAGGTCAGACTGTTGAATATGAATGAAAGGAATAGTCCTTTAAGAGGGAGGGAGGGAGGGAGGGAGGGAGGGAGGGAGGGAGGGAAGGAAGGAAGGAAGGAAGGAAGGAAGGAAGGAAGGAAGGAAGGAAGGAAGGAAGGAAGGAAGGAAGGACTTCAATTCCACTAGGAAATTTCACGGTTGAGCTTGGATATAATCACAAAGACTTTCACTTCCCTACTCACAGCCTGTGGTCACACAATACTCTACAGTTTGCTTCACAGCCTGTGGTCACACAATACTCTACAGTTTGCTTCATAGGGGAAGGAAGGAAGGAAGGAAGGAAGGAAGGAAGGAAGGAAGGAAGGAAGGAAGGAAGGAAGGAAGGAAGGAAGGAAGGAAGGAAGGACTTCAATTCCACTAGGAAGTTTCACGGTTGAGCTTGGATATAATCACAAAGACTTCTACTTCCCTACTCACAGCCTGTGGTCACACAATACTCTACAGTTTGCTTCACAGCCTGTGATCACACAATACTTTACAGTTTGCTTCATAGGGAAGAAGGAAGGAAGGAAGGAAGGAAGGAAGGAAGGAAGAAGGAAGGAAGGACAGACTTCAATTCCACTAGGAAGTTTCACGGTTGAGCTTGGATATAATCACAAAGACTTCTACTTCCCTACTCACAGCCTGTGGTCACACAATACTCTACAGTTTGCTTCACATGGGAGGGAAGGACGGAAGGAAGGGAGGAAGGAAGGAAGGAAGGAAGGAAGGAAGGAAGAGGGAGGGAGGGAGAGAAGGAAGAAGGAAGGAAGGAAGGAAGGAAGGAAGGAAGGAAGGAAGGAAGGAAGGAAGGTAGGTTAGAAAACAATCTTCATTGACAGGATGCACTAAAAAGAAGTCCCGTACTTCATTTAGAAGGAATCTGAAACTAGAGCATGTCTGAAATTCCTGCAGACATGCCAGATTGATACCCATCCTGGCACAGTGGCTCATAAACCAGAGCAATTTTGAATTTGATGCTCAAGTTTAACCCTGATCCTTTCCATGTTCCACACTTAAATAAGGGTCTCAATAAATTGACATAAAAACAGCTGGCAAGAGTAGAGTTAGCAATGGCTTTCTTTCTTTCTTACCCTTCTGCATTTTATCCCTTCTCTGACAAATGATGTCCTTGTCCTTTTTCTTCTCTTTTGTGCTGAAAATGAAAAAAGTTAATGACAGTGGCAAAAGACTGGAAGTATTATTTCTGCTTTTTCTTTTTTTCCCCTAGTTTAAACAATAGTGGTTGGAGTTAGTTAAGTTATGGCTGCCTATCCTCCTCTCGGCGGTATGTCATTCTTTGTGAATTTGTCTCTAATAAGATTTTGGTCTTTGACATCTTGTCCAAAGTTCCTTCTTCAGCTGGATTTCTTTCCGATTCTGACTGTGTCTTATTTTTTTAGTCATTAAGGTTAAAAGGGAGAGAAAGTTCTTTTCCCTCAAAGCTTCAGAAATAGGGCACAAAGGCAGAGGTGGGATTCAAAAATGTTAGCAACTGGTTCTCTGTGTGGTTGCTGGGTGGGTGTAGCCATGGTGGACGTGGCCTACTCGGCCTCCTGCACCACACCATGGGGGTGGCGTTTTCGCCCTCCCCACACTCTGGAGGCTTTCCTCAAGCCTCTGGGAGGACGAATACAGCCTCCGCCGGGCTCCGGGGGCCCTCCAGTGGCTGGAAATGGGCCCATTTCCAGACTTCTGGAACTTCTGTGAGGCCTGTTTTTTGCCCTCCCCAGGCTCAGGAGACTTTCCTTGAGCCTCCGGGAGGACAAAAATGGCCTCCCCCAGGCTCCGGAGTCCCTCTGGAGGCTGGAAACAGGCCCATTTCCAGACTTCCAGAACTTAAGGGAGGCTCGTTTTTCACCCTCCCAGAGCCTCTGCGTGGGTACTGCACTTAACTGGCATCCAAAACAGGCCGCGTGGAGACTCCTGGGAGAGGCGGGGTGGGTGGGGCCAGCCAGTCCTTGCAACTACCGGTCTGGCAAACCAGATGTAAAATTAGTATCCGGTTCGCTTGAACCAGTCCGAACCGGCTGAATCCCACTTTGCACACAGGGATTTGTTATAAAGATTCATATATACCACAAAGCCATAATATTCTTGCTAACTCAAATGGCAGTTTATTTTGGGAGAGAGAGAAAATCTCTCTGTTCTGTGTAATCTGATATTAAATGAGCCTTATTAGGATTACTGTCCTACACGCTACAGATAAATTTCAATACTATTTGCAATCTGCAAGTGATTAATTGAATACTGTTCGTACTCTTCCAGTCTTACACGGTTTATTAATAAATATACTTGCAAGGTGGAGGTTCTATTCAGTTTGAAAAAAGGAAGGACAGTTTCTTGAAAGAGATGGAAATGTTGAATGAGAGATACAGTATTTTGAAGGAAAATCTGAAGTCTCCCCTTAAACGAGGCACGATTTTGCACAATACTGTAAGTATTGGTTCATTCTCTGTTTTAGCAAAAACAGCTCAATGCTCACAGTGGTGCAGCAAAATCAAAGCTCTCCACAATTTTGAGCAGAGTCCAGCATCAGGAAATTTGTCAAGCACACATACGTGTGTTGCAGAAATTCCTCTATGAATCAAATTTTCTATACAGTATGGAATTAATCCACTCCATGGTATATTAATGTGCTTCTCACATTTTTTTTTAGCTGCTGAAATGGTGTTCATAAAAATCTGCCTTTTAGAAATAGAATAGAGTGGAGTGGAGTGGAGTGGAGTGGAGTGGAGTGGAATAGAATTCTTTATTGGCCAATAAGGAGCCGAGGTGGCGCAGTGGTTAGAGTGCAGTACTGCAGCTACTTCAGCTGACTGCTAGTTCAGCAGATCAGCGGATCAAATCTCACCGGCTCAAGGTTGACTCAGCCTTCCATCCTTCCGAGGTGGGTAAAATGAGGACCCAGATTGTTAGGGGGCAGTATGCTATTTAGTATACTGTCTTTGGTGTAAGCCGCCCAGAGTCCTCGGAGAGTGGGCGGCATAGAAATATGACTAATAAAATAAATAAACAAATAAATAAACAAAATAATCAAATAAATAAACAAAATAAATAAATAAATAAATAAATAAACAAACAAACAAACAAACAAACAAACAAATAAATAAATAAATAAATAAATAAATAAATAAATAAATAAAATAAGTGTGATTGGACACACAAGGAATTTGTCTTTGGTGCATATGCTCTCAGCGTACAGAAAAAGAAAAGATACATTCGTCAAGAATCATAAGGTACAACACTTAATGATAGTCATAGAGTACAAATAAGCAATCAAATCATATTAGGAAACAGTCAATATAAATCATAAGGATACAAGCAACAAAGTTACAGTCATACAGTCATAAGTGGGAGGAGATGGGTGATGGGAACAATAAAAAGATTAATAGTAGTGCAGATTTAGTGAATAGTTTGACAGTTTGAGGGAATTAGTTGTTAAGCTAATGATGTGATGGCATTCAGGAAAAATGAACAACTTGTGTCTAGTTGTTCTGGTGTGCAGTGCTCTATAGCGTCGTTTTGAGGGTAGGAGTTGAAACAGTTTATGTCCAGGATGCAAGGGGACTGTAAATATTTTCTCAGCCCTCTTTTTGACTCATGCAGTATACAGGTCCTCAATGGAAGGCAGGTTGATAGTAATTGTTTTTTCTGTAGTTCTAATTAGCCTCTGAAGTCTGTGTCTGTCTTGCGTGGCCATCATGGACATGGCCAGGGGTGAGACAGGCAGCACTTGGCCTCCTGCATCCCCCTGGGAGCAAAAACGGGCCGCAGGGGAGGGAACGCACCACTCCCCGCATCCCGTTTTGGGCCTAGTAGGCCTCCCTGCAGCCTCCTGGGAGCGAAAATGGGCCATGGGTGGAGGGCATGATGCACTCCCCTGTGCCTTGCTTTGGGCCTAGTAGACCGCCTTGCACTTACCTGGGAGCCAAAAAGTGGGGACTCCTGGAAGGGGTGGGGTGGGGAGGGGTGGAGCCAGCCAGAAATTTAACTACCGATTCACCTGAACCGGCCTGAATCGGCTGAATCCCACCACTGGCCTAAATGATCACGAACCAGTTCTGAATGAATTACTTCTAGTAAATGGTAGACCAGGTCCGTGTGGTCCATCTTAATCAAATCAAACCTTCTAGTGATCCTTACAATCTTCTATTCCAAAGCAGGGTGCTTTGCATATCCATAGTCCAGATTCCCTGAGCGAGTAGGGGTCATTGGCATAGTTTGGGGTTGAGAAAGTAAGAATCTTAAGTGCGTGCCTTTAGCTATGGGAAGACGTCATATACCATTTATTCCTTTTTAACAACTTTAATCTTCCTCCCCCCCTTCCCACGTCCCGATTGGGAGCCTGACTTGACCAAGTTTCAGAAGCTGGTAGGTTATGCAAAACGGATCTATGGCCTAATGGAAATTACACATTCATGTATTAAACTAATATTCCCAATATATTGCCTTTAAACAGTTTCTGGGGGGAAAAATAGCAAATGAGAGGAAAAAGCAACCGGCTACTCCGTCTTTAATCTTGATTATTTTCCTTGGCACCACTGGAGGAGGAAATAATGTTAATTCAGAGCTTCTCATCTATATCTTACAAAGAGGTGACAATTTCACATAATGAGCTATAATGGTGACAAAATACCTTCTCTGGTCTTATGGGTGAACACTGTGTCATTTTTTCCTTAATTATGTGCCTTTTTATTGAGTAGAGCAAGTGATTTAGAGCTAACAAATATACAAGCAAACAAAGAAGTGAACATAAAGGCTCGGATTTTTTCCCCCCCAAAAGACTCACTTTTTATGTTTCTGTAATTCCACTGATACCTAAACTGAGCCTAATGCTTGATTGTATGTATGTATGTATGTATGTATGTATGTATGTATGTGTATGTGTATATACATACACAGTTCTCTGCCCTAATGACCAGCTGGGTAGGTGTGACTTGGTGGTCATGGGTAGGTGTGACTCGGTGGTCATGTGACCGTGTGGGTGTGGCCAACTCAACATCACTCACGACAATGGGCGCTTCGCCTTAGCTGTTACAATGCAATAAGGGTTAACCGGAGAGGCCATTTCTGTAAGCAGGGCAATACAGATTAGGCTAGAAACAACACCAGAATGTTTCCTTCCTGCCTTCCTTACAGGATTAGTCCTGTAAAGTGGAAAAAAAAACAAAATAAGATTTCTTCCAACAACCGGTTCTCCGAACTGCTTAAAAAGTTAACAACCGGTTCTCCCGAATAGGTGCGAACTGGCTGAATCCCACCACTGCTCAGAGTTCTATAGACATGCAAAATGCATAGAGGAGGAAAATTGACCCACCAGTTATATTTAGTCAATTTAGGCAATTTTATAGGGCAGAAAACACACACACACAGGTGCTTTGAAAAGATGCAACAACTAAAATTAGAAAGGGGCAACAGAAAACAGTACAGGTAATCCTGAACGTACGACCACAATTGAGCCCAAAATTGATGTTGCTAAGTGAGAAATTGGTTAAATCAGTTTTGCCCCATTGTTAAGCTGCATTTTCTTGCCTCATTTGTTAAGTGAACCCCTGCAGTTGTTAAGTGAGTAACATGGTTGTTAAGTGAATCTAGTTTCCTCATTGACTTTGCTTGTCAGAAGGTTGCCAAAAAGGACCCCGGGACACTGCAACTGTCACAAATGTGAGTCAGTTGCCAAGCATCCGAATGTAAATCGCGTGATTTACATCGGGGATGCTGCCATGGTCACAAGCATGAAAAATGGTCATTAGTTGATTTTTTTTCAGTGCCATTGTAACTTCAAATGGTCACTAAGCAAAGTGTTGTAATCCAAGGACTAACTGTACACAGCAGTCAAACCTAGAAGTAAGGAGAAATTTCCTGACAGTTAGAACAATTAATCTGTGGAACAATTTGCCTCCAGAAGTTATGAATGCTCCAACACTGGAAGTTTTTAAGAAGAGATTAGATAACCATTTGTCTGAAGTGGTGTAGGGTTTCCTGTCTAAGCAGGGGGTTGGACTAGAAGACCTCCAAGGTCCCTTCCAACTCTGTTATTCTATTCTATTCTATTCTATTCTATTCTATTCTATTCTATTCTACATTCCACTCCACTCCACTCCACTCCACTCCACTCCACTCCACTCCACTCCACTCCACTCTATTATTCTATTCCATT